TGCATCTGTAAAGATGTTATTTTATTCTTTGTACATTTTATTACAATAATTTTTGTGTGGATTTAACATCTATACTTGTTCATTTTTGTGTATTAGTTTTTCTGAATTTTTAGAAGGTAGTGTGGTTTAGGGTATCTTTTCTGTTTTTGTGTAATGTTAAAAAATACAGTGATTGCTTTTTGAGTTTTCCTGTCTCTTTATTACTACTCGATGTTTATCTGAAACTTCACTTTCCTTTTATTTTTCCCCCCTTTCTCTTTTTTTCTTTTTAAGTAGGCTCCATGCTCAGTGTGGAGTCCTGTGCGGGGTTTGAATTTTCCACCCTGAGATCGAGACCTGAGCTGAGATTAAGAGTCAGATGCTTAACCGACTGAGCCACTTAGGCACCGTCTTTCCTTCTTCTCTGTTGTGCCTTTGTTAACTCAGTTTTGATTCCATTCCCAGTAATTTCCCCTTAGTGTGTAGTCTTATTCAAGAAGAGAGCCATAGTTGGTCATTTTCAAGAGTTTATAGTAGATGTTTCATTCTCACCACGGACCCCTTTACTGTTAGATTAGAAAGCAGCTTTCTCTCCTGTCTTAAGATTGTCCTGTCATGCTTTCCATTGAATACCTACCTTTTTAGCTATTTTGGGCTTTTCTTATTCTCAGGTGTATCACACACCTTGCTGATACCTTTGCTTTCTTCTATACTAGTGCATGTGGGCATTCAGGGTATGGTGGCTATTGGTTTGTCCTTATCTGCTTGGAATTAGGAGAGACAGAATCTTGTGTCCCAATTCACCATTGGGTTTTTTTGCCTCTTTAATTCTTTGTGTTTCCCTTGGGATTCAGACATAAGAACATACTACCTTCCCAAGATTTTCCTCTAAAAGCCTATTTTAGGGACAATTGTGAAAAATATAAATTCCAGAGAAGACATTACAGGGTTAATGAATTTATTAAAGCAACCTGTACAGTAATGTAGGAATCTTGGTTTTCCTAGTTCTTTTAAAAATCATGCCACATTCAGAAATTCCCCAAATTATGTAGTTGAACGTTCAAGAAGGGCTAGGACTAGGTGATGAATTGTCTTATCAATGACTGCAGAACTTTTACCTTGATTTTAATAGCTTCCTCTTCCTACTTAGAGATGTAAGCTAAAATATTTTTACTTTGTGTATTTATATACTTTATTTATTTATTTTTTTAAGAAAAGAGTTATTTATTTTAGCACAAGCAGGGGGAGAGTCAGAGGAAAAGGGACAGAGTGATTCCTCAAACAGACTCCCCTCTAAGTGCGGAGCCTGGCATCATGGGGCTCAGGGCTTGATCCTAGGACACTGAGATCATGACCTGATCCAAAATCAAGAGTCAGAGACTTAAATGACTGAGCCACCCAGGCACCCCAAATATTATATGTATTTTTAATTGACCATGGTACAGTCTATTCTGCTACAGTAAATATGTGGTACTTGTGCAACATCATTTAGCCTATAGACTCTTGGTAAACGGGAGAATAGTGTCAGCATAACATGGGTGGTGCATTGCTTTATACATGACTTCTTCCTAAACTGGACAAAGGGATCCTGAATTAATGGGAGTTGAAGTTTTTAAAGATTTATTTATTTATTTGAGAGTGAAAGAGCAGAAACAGCACAAGTGCAGAGTGTTTGGAGGGGTAGAGAGAGAATCTTTTAAGCAGACTCTGTGCTGAGCAGGCTCAGTTCAGTCTCACAACCCTGAGATCATGATCTGAGCTGAAGCCAACAGTCAGACACTTAATTGGCTGTGCTACCCAGGTGCCCCAGGGAGTTGAATTTTATATTTCATCAGGAAAGTAAAAAACTTTCAATTCAGCTGTTACAGAAACAACTCCCTCCCAAACAAACATACACGCAGAGTTTTTAATTAGAAGTGATAATTAGGAGCATCAGGGAGGAGAGTTCCTTCCTAGAGAAGTACACTCTGGTCTAGCAGGGACTTTTCTCATGTGGCAGTCTGCATTTCCTTTTTTTTTTTTTTTAAGATTTTATTTATTTATTCATAGAGAGAGAGAGGCGGAGACACAGGCAGAGAGAGAAACAGGCTCCATGCAGGGAGCGTGACGTGGGACTCGATCCCTGGTCTCCAGGATCACACCTTGGGCTGCAGGCGGCGCTAAATCGCTGTGCCACTGGGGCTGCCCTGCATTTCCTTTTGTGTCCATCTTAGACCAACTGTGTTAAAGCTCCACTTCTCCGTTCCCATGAGCCCTTTTTTCTCCTTCTCTGTTTTTACTACTTTTTTTTAAGCCCTAAGGTAGCATTTCGCCTTCTGTTCGCTGCCTTGCTGGGGTGTCCAAGTTATCTCTGAAGTGTCCCAATCATTGTTTTTGTGAGTGCTGTGGTTAAAAGAATTAACAGGGCATTGATTGATCTGCTCTATATAACCCTCTCTACCCTCCTGGACCAATTATTTTTTCTTTAAGCCTTGTTATTTTTAGTGTTGCAGAATGCAGGGTTTTCAAGAATGTAAGTATTTATGTTATAGCAGATGTACTAAGAGATTTCTTCAAGAAGATGCTGGAGCTTAGTGTTTAGCTTTGAGGCATTTCTGTTCTTGAAGGACTTTATTTTATTTATTTATTTTTTTCTTGAAGGACTTTATAAAGAGAATCCTGTTTTCTGGCATTGGGAATCCAGGGTTTGGGATATGAGGCTTACAATTCATTTTAAAATGCAGAGGAATGATAAATAGTAACCATTTGAAGAATTTTGTCATGGATCCCTGAGGTGTTATCTTGTGCTATAATGACTTTTTTTTTTTATTTTTATTTTTTATTTTTATTTTTTTTTTTAAATTTTTTTAATTTTTATTTATTTATGATAGTCACAGAGAGAGAAAGAGAGAGAGGCAGAGACATAGGCAGAGGGAGAAGCAGGCTCCATGCACCGGGAGCCCGATGTGGGATTCGATCCCGGGTCTCCAGGATCGTGCCCTGGGCCAAAGGCAGGCGCCAAACCGCTGCGCCACCCAGGGATCCCACTTTTTTTTTTTAAATAATGACATTGTTTTAATGGAGGTATCTAAATTAGAGAAACTACTAAGCAAAAGTAAAATTCTGTATGGTGTGATATGTAATGATGTATTTTTATATTGTTTTTGTTCTGTTTTGATCCAAGTAGGGAATTTTTTTTAAAAGAAAGCTTAGCTTTTTAATAATCTTTAATATCTTTTTCTTTCTTCTAAGATTTTATTTAAATTCAAGTTAGTTAACATATAGTATAGTATTGGTTTCAGGAGTAGAATTGATCCAAATAGCTAATTATAATTGTGGCAATTTACAATACTAGGGTTTGTTTTAGAAATAATAAAATAATATTCAACCTTAGAGAATGTACAGTACCATCTTATTTGCTACGATATAAAAGCATTAAATACAAATGTTCAGTAGAAATAAAAGAATTATTCCCCATTGAATAAGAATAGTGATTATACATACAGATTATGTTTAATATAGACTTAAAAATCTAATCCTTACCAAAAAATAGCAGGTAGTCTTATTAAAACAGCAAGGAAAAAAAAAACAGCAAGGAATTGGGGCACCTGGCTTGCTCAGTTGGTAGAGCATGCGACTCTTGATCTTGAGGTTGTGAGTTCAGGTCCCACGCTGGGTGTAGAGATTACTAAAAGATAAACAAAAGAATCCACCAAGGAATTAGAGGTCAGTATTACAGTAATGTAAGAAAATCACATACGTGGTGATAGAAAAATTTTACAAATGAGAAAAATAGATGTACAAATGAAAAAAAATCAGTGTTCTCTAAGAGTACACTTGGAGTATACTCTTTTAGTACTGTAAAAACAGTGTAAACTGGTGGTGTGGATTTGCCTCATATAAGAGGAAATGAATAGAAAGCTTTATCGGGGAATAGACTCCTTGGTGTTAATTTGGGCATTTAAAGAATTGAGGATGGCATTGGGGTGTGGCAATGGCAGACCCTGTTATTTTTGGTAATATGTGATATGCCAGCAAATTCCAATGGAGTTCTTTCTCTTACCCTCAGTGCTCAGGGAAACAACCACTGTTCTTTCAGACAAGTCTAGGAATAGGGGAAAATTGCTGAAAATTCAGAGCATATTGTACAATTGAGTATTTAAATCGCACAGTTTAGTGGACCCTGGGATAAGAATCTGAATTTTGGGGGTGCTGTAGTTATATTTGTGTATTATAAGTGCATTAATAATAAACACTCTTAAAACATTGTCATATTTTTTTAGCACTGTTGGATATTATATAATTGTATTTTGTTTCTCCTGGATGTGAAAAATGGGAAAATATATTACACATACTATATCTTTTTTTTAAATTAAGGTATAATTGATATATACATTATATTAATTTTAGCATACAACAGTGATTTGATATTTTTATATGTGTGTGTGTGTTGTAAAATGATCATCACAACAGGCCTAGCTAACATCCCCATCACCATAGTTAGAACTTCTTTTTAAGATGAGAACTTTTAAGATTTACTCTTAGCCACTTTCATATATGCAGTACTGTATTAGCTATAATTACATTTCTATGACTTATTTTATAACTAGAATTTGTATCTTTTGACTCCATTCATTTTGCCAGCCCTCACCCCCCACCTCTGGCAACCACCAATCCATTCTCTGTATCTTTGAGCAGGTTTTTTGTTTTTTGTTTTTCTCATTTGTTGACCACATAGAAGTAAGGTCATACGGTATTTTCACTGTCTTTACTTAGTACATTCATGTTTTCATAAGTGGCAAAATTTCTTTCTTTTTTAATGGCTGAGTAATACTCCATTTGTGTGTGTGTGTGTGTGTGTGTGTGTGTGTGTACCCCATGTATTCTTTATCCATTCATCAACAGATGGACACTTAAGTTGTTTCTGTTGACTATTGTAAATAATGCTGCAGTGGATATAGAGGGTACATATATTTTTATAAGTATATTCTATAAGGTGGAATGCCTGTGCTCAATGCATGTTTTTTTCCTCATATCTTAAGGAAGAGAGAGAAAATCCTTCGAAACGAAGTAGGATTGAACGTGATATAGATAATAATTTGATCACATCAACACCAAGAGCAGGAGAAAAGCCTAACAAACAGATATCTCGAGTAAGACGGAAAAGTCAAGTAAATGGAGGTTTGTTAATATTTAGATATTGTTTTATTAGGTGTAAGCATAGATCTCACCTGTTATGTTTCTTTTCTGTTTTTAAAAATGGACTCTGAAATTTTTCCCTATTTTTGTAACCCTTTGTATTAAGTATTAATAGCATGAAATGAAATAAAAATTTATCTAATATAAATCTACTTTGATGAATTAAAATGATAAGTAAAGGCAGAGCAACTAGCTTTATACTATTTATCATGAAAATATATATGGAACAGCATTTTCAACCTCTAATAAGCTCAGTTCTTAAAGCAGTAATAACTGTGACCTAATTTATTGAAATATGTACAAAGAATCTGTTCCTGGATCATGGAATTTCAGAGCTCAGAAAGGGCCTGGATCACTCAGGACAGTGGTTCTTAACTAGGGGTGGTTTTGTCCCCAGGGAACATTTGTTAATGTCTGGAGACCTTTATGGTTGTCAGAACCTATTGAAGGGTTGCTACATCACTTCTAGCAGGTAGAAGTTAGGGATGCTGCTAAACATCCTACAGTGCACAGGACATCCTCCCACAGTAAAGAAACATCCAGCCCAAAAGTCAATAGTACTGCTGTTGATAAATCTTGTTCTAGGTCAGTATAATATTGCTAGGAAGCTCCTCAAAGTCAAAAAGGAGGAAAACAAGAAGGACAAGTAGAGAAAAGCTATAAAAAACAACACTTCAGAGCATGGAATGGTGCGTTTTAACCATTGCTCTTTTAAACAACTGCAAGAATAATTCCTTGCTTCTTTCCTCTCAATTCAGTGTTGTATCGCTATTGTTAGAATGGACTAATAGGGAAAAGGAAACAAAAGACCTATTACAAAGAAGGAAAAAATCTGGTAGATACTAAGTAAAGTTATGGAAGGTCAAGGATGATTAATCAAAACACATTTGTTTGAATTTGTTTTTACTGTATATTTTCCAAAAGATCATGAAATTTTTTTATTAATAAGAAACTAAAAAAAAAAAAAAAAACAAAAGACAAAAAACCTGTTTGTTTTTCTTAACCATTCTGAAATGATGTCTGGGTATACATAAGTAAGTTTTGATACTGCTATACATAGTCTTCTGCTTTAATAGATCTATGTTGTCTATTTATTTAGCTGTTATTCATTACTAATAGGTAGGTTTTGTGAATGTAGACAGCCTCCCAGAATGTAAAAAAGGACAGGATTTTGCATTTATCTTTTTGATGTAACTTGCTTTACTTACAAAGAGTTTCGTTTTCACTTATACTGTGGATTTTGAAGCCTTTCAGTCTATATACTTCTAGCTTCAAATGAGCTTTGTAGCAGTTATAAAGCATTATAAATAAACTTGTTATAAAGATCATTTGATTTACAATTTATTTACCTCGGGATATTTTTAAAGTAATAAGCTTTAACATTAAATGTTAATCAGTTTTTATAAAGTATTTTGAGGCAAAAAAGAAATTTTTTAAAACATTTCTTTAAGTCATGTTTTCTAGATTCCAACTTTTTTTCTTGTTTCTTAGAAGCTGGTAGTTATGAAATGACAAATCAACATGTAAAACAAAATGGAAAATTAGAAGATAATCCTTCCTCTGGCAGTCCTCCAAGGACTACATTGTTGGGGACCATATTTTCTCCTGTCTTCAACTTTTTTTCACCAGCAAATAAAAATGGTAAGTATAAACTATCATCTATAATTTGGGTTTAAAAATTAATAGTTCTCCTAATTTTTTAAAAGATCTGTTTGATTTTTTTTTTATGATAGTCACAGAGAGAGAGAGAGAGAAAGAGGTAGAGACATAGGCAGAGGGAGAAGCAGGCTCCATGCATCGGGAGCCCGATGTGGGATTTGATCCCGGGTCTCCAGGATCGCGCCCTGGGCCAAAGGCAGGCGCTGCGCCACCCAGGGATCCCAGATCTGTTTGATTTTACTGGCTGTTTTGTCAGCAGCTTATGTTTGTTTTCAGCCTCATTAAAAAACACACAACTCCTGGGACGCCTGGGTGGCTCAGCGGTTGGGCGCCTGCCTTTGGCTCAGGTCGTGATCCCCGGATCCAGGATCGAGTCCCACGTCAGGCTCCCTGCGAAGAGCCTGCTTCTCCCTCTGCCTATGTCTCTGCCTCTCCTCTCAATCTGTGTCTCTCATAAATAAATCTTTAAAAAAACAAACAAACAAAAAACACAGCTCCTGAAGAAAAAAAAATACACAGTTCCTAAAAGACTTTTTTTTTTTTTTTAAGATTTAAAAAAATACATGTCTCTCATGTATTTATTCATGAGAGACAGAGAGGCAGAGACAAAGGCAGAGGGAGAAGCAGGCTCCACACAGGGAGCCTGACTTGGGACTCGATCCCGGGTCTCCAGGATCAGGCCCTGGGCTGAAGGCAGCGCTAAACTGCTGAGCCACCCGGGCTGCCCAAGACCTTTTTTTTTTTTTTAAGTGACAAATAAATTTAGGTCCTATTTAATTCTCTTGAAGTGCATGAACTCCACTTTCACTATCTGAAAAGCTATATGATAAACTGGGCCAGAGGGAAAGTAATGTCTTTTATGTTGGAATAACTTCTGTAATCTTTAGTGTGTACAGGAGAGAATCCAGAAACACTTTAATATTCTAGATCAATAAAGTAGAATTTTAAGTGAGCTGAAACGAAGTCATTTTTTTTTTAAGATTTTATTTATTCCTGAGAGACAGAGAGACAGACAGGCAGACAGGCAGGCAGGCAGAGGGAGAAACAGGCTCCATGCAGGGAGCCTGATGTGGGACTCGATCCCTGGTCTCCAGGATCATGCCCTGGGCCAAAGGCAGGCACTAAACTGCTGAGCCACCCAGAGATCCCCTAGGTCATTTTTTTTTTTTAATACATCTTATATTATTTGCTTGATTTTTTTTCCCCCTTAGGGATTTTTTTTTTTAAGACTTTATTTATTCATGAGAGAGACAGAGGCAGAGGGAGATGCAGGCTCCCTGCGAAGAGCCTGATGCAGCACTTGATCCCAGGACTCCAGGATTACGCCCTGAGCTGAAGGCAGATGCTCAACCACTGAGCCACTCAGGTGCCCCTCCCAACATAATTTGTTTAAGATTTTATTTATTTAAGATAGAGCATGCATGCTAGAAGAAGGATAGAAAGGGAGACCATCCCAAGTAGACTCTGTGCTGAGTGTGGAGCCCAACTTGGGGCTTGATCCTACAACCCTGAGATCATGACCAGGGCCGAAACCAAGAGTTGGACACCCAACCAACTGAGCTACCCAGATTTTTTTTTAAAGATTTAACTATTGTCCTATCTTTTTTGATGATTAATTCTTAAGGTCATAAACGATAATGTAGTCTCTAGATTATGTGAGAGCAAGAGATCATTCCTTTATTTTTACATCTACCTAGTTATTTGATATAGTATGGGGCACATGGAAAATAGTCATTTTTAAAGTTTTTTTTTTTTTAATTTTTATTTATTTATGATAGTCACAGAGAGAGAGAGAGAGAGGCAGAGACACAGGCAGAGGGAGAAGCAGGCTCCATGTACCGGGAGCCCGACGTGGGATTTGATCCCGGGTCTCCAGGATCACGCCCTGGGCCAAAGGCAGGCGCTAAACCGCTGCGCCACCCAGGGATCCCGGAAAATAGTCATTAAATACTTATCGGCTGATTATTTAAATTCTCATATGAATTATGGTTCTGGATAATACAATTTTTAAAAGGCAGAATGGTGCACTATAAAATTTAGATGCTCTGGGGGCTTAAAATAATGCATATTGGCACATGAAAGGACTTGTGAAGTCCTATAGTAGAAATAAAACAAAAACTATATTTAACTTTAACTTTGTATTTCCTAGACATATTTGCCTCCAAGAATCCTTTTCTGTGGAATATCTGTTAATATATTGTAAAACTAGGGCCTTTTATTTTTATTTTTTTATTTTATAATAAATTTATTTTTTATTGGTGTTCACTTTGCCAACATACAGAATAACACCCAGTGCTCATCCCCTCAAGTGCCCCCCTCAGTGCCCGTCACCCATTCACCCCTACCCCCCGCCCTCCTCCCCTTCCACCACCCCTAGTTCGTTACCCAGAGTTAGGAGTCTCTATGTTCTGTCTAAACTAGGGCCTTTTAGACATCTTTCAGAATAGGTGGTATAGTGGAAAAAGAATAAGCATTGGAATTAGAGAAACTTGTTTTAAAATTCCAGCTCTGCCACTCTTTAAACATGTTATCTTGGTCCAGTTCTTTAAATTGAGCATCTTAACCTGTGAGAGAGGATAATTATACTTGAGTATGGGGCAGAGGCAATTTGAAGATTTCAGTTTATTCAAATCAATATTTGCCATATCCCAACCATTGTACTAGTCTCTGGAGAGTCAAGGATGATTAACACATGGTCCTTGCCCTCAAGGAGCTTGCTTTTTTACAGTAGGGAGAGAGGGGCACCTGGGTGGCTCAGTGGTTAAGCATCTGCCTTTGGCTCAAAAGAAATCTGGGTTTAAGCAGTAGACTATTAACTGTATTATCAGCTTATAGGTATTGAAACCAGTAGAGTAAATGGTCTATATGGTCAGCAAACTAAGATCTTGGGGGAATAGATATTTGGGCAGAAGTAGTTGATGTTTGATAGTTACAACTTTTTCTTTGAAGGAGGAGATGGTGCCATGTGCTGAGATTCCTGGTGGCAGGGATTGAAGAGAACAGTGAAATGTTTGCTTTTGGGTATAATTAAAAGAAATCCCAGTAAGCCTGTAAGTTACATTGATTCAAGAGAGATTTCTGTGATGGTTGACAGTGGAAAGACAAGGGAGCAAGGACCCTGAAACTACCGGTTTGAGAGTGATTTGTGAAATACCATGAAGTCTAACTAGTTGAGAAGGTTGGGGAAGGAGCTGTTGAAGGATTGTTTAGAATGAAAGAGATTGGGTTTTATCAAACATGAAATCACATTTAATAGGAATATGAGATCGATAATTAAAAGATTAGGAAGTTATGGAGGGGATTGATATATTTGAACTTTTGTCTTCAGAGATGAAACTTTTCTTAGTGTGAATATCCAGGTTATGGTCATTGTAGTTACTTAAGAGAGCAGTTATGAATGAAGATAGAGCTAGAGAAGGTAAGACTTTTGAGGATTAGTCTTAGGATGAGTCATTGACATTATTATAATAACTAGGAGGTGTTTAATAGACTGCTGGTGAGGTGTTCAATTCTTCTAATTGAGGATGTTGGCAGCAGTTAGTAAATGGCAGCAGTGGGATAAGTGAAGAATTATATAGCTAGATGACATCAGTCTCAGGAACAGGTATTTTTTTGCATATTCAGTGGAAAAACCAATCATCTGGTAGCAGAAATGGAGATAAATGAATTCTGATTCAGTTAGTATGTTGAGTATGGAAGAATAAAGAGCTTTGCAGGAAAGATGTCAGGAAAAGAGGTTTTTTGGAAGGGAGTTACATTTAAAGCTATGATGGAGAAAGAACATTCTGTGAGAAAGTTGAGAGTAGAAGGTTGATTTTGTTGTTGAAAATGACATTTGGGGGCAGCCCAGGTGGCTCAGCAGTTTAGTGCCACCTTCAGCCCAGGGCATGATCCTGGAGTCTCGCGTCAAGCTCCCTGCATGGAGCCTGCTTCTCCCTCTGCGTGCATCTCTTCCTCTCGCTGTGTCTCTCATGAATAAATAAATCAAATTAAAAAAAAAAAAGACATTTGGAGAATTCCATAAAGAAAGAAAAGAGTTGGGTTTATCTAGTAGTGGAAGAATAGGGCAACAGGTTCATCTAGGTGGTAGCTGAGTATGATTAGGAAACTAACTTCAATCTTTGTTACTAAGATGGAATATTGTTGGGAAATTGTGTCTCTGAATAAAAATATTCTGATGGTTAGGGGAACATTTAGCTCATTCTTGCATAACTACCTCTGATTTTAAAATTACAACTGCCTACAGTGGCTAGGATGCTTAGTACGGAAGGATAAGGATCTGTTTAATGGAAATGATAATGGAAAAAAATACATATAAAATGCCTAGCTCATAGTAGGCACTTAATAAATGATATTTGCTATATTGAAAAGAAGTTCTATGGTCAACAATACTGTATTGTATACTTCAAAGTTGCAAAGAGACTAGATCTTAGATTTTCTCACCACAAAAATATGATAATGATGTAGCAGGATAGAGAGGTGTTAGCTAATGCTAGGTTAGTAGTCATAATGCAGTATATATATAAATGTATTAAATCAACACGTGAATAAGCGTGAAACTTAAAGTTATATGTCTGTTATGTCTCCATAATTTTTTTTTAACTTTTAAAATTTATTAATGAGAGAGAAGCAGAGACATAGGCAGAGGAGAAGCAGGCTCCCTGTGGGGACCCTGATGTGGGTTTCAATCCCAGGACCCTGGGATCATGACCTGAGTTCAAGGCAGACGCTCAACCACTGAGCCATCCCTCAATAAAAAAATTTTTAAAGTTCTGGGGATCCCTGGGTGGCTCAGCGGTTTGGCACCTGCCTTTGGCCCAGGGCGCAATCCTGGAGTCCCAGGATCAAGTCCTGTGTCAACTCCTGGCATGGGGCCTGCTTCTCCTTCTGCCTTTGTCTCTGCCTCTCTCTCTCTCTCTCTCTCTCTCTCTCTCTCTCTCTCTCTCTCCCCCCCCATGTCTATCATGAATAAATAAATAAAATCTTTTAAAAAAATTTTTTAAAAGTTCTAAGTTATAAAAGCTCTAAATAGGTGTTCCTAAACTATTCAAACACTCTTAAAATTTTGTTCATCGGGATCCCTGGGTGGCGCAGCGGTTTGGCGCCTGCCTTTGGCCCAGGGCGCGATCCTGGAGACCCGGGATCGAATCCCACGTCGGGCTCCCGGTGCATGGAGCCTGCTTCTCCCTCTGCCTGTGTCTCTGCCTCTCTCTCTCTCTGTGTGTGACTATCATAAATAAAGTTAAAAAAAAAAAATTAAAAAAAAAAATTAAAAAAAAAATTTTTGTTCATCAATATCACTTTACCTTATAATAGTCTTTATTCCTGATTGAGATGTATAGAAAAAAAACACTAAACAGTAGTATCCTCAGCTCTATTTCTGTTGCATTTGGTTTTTCCAAATTTTTTAGTTTAGTTTTCATTTTTAAAAAATATTTTATTTATTTATTCATGAGAGACACAGAAAGGCAGAGACACAGGCAGAGGGAGAAGCAGGCTCCATGCAGGGACCCCGATGTGGGACTTGATCTCCGGACTCCAGGATCATGCCCTGAGCCGAAGGCAGATGCTCAACCTCTGAGCCACCCAGGTGTCCCTTTTTTTTTTTTTTCTGTTTTTTGAGTTTATTTTTCAGTATTTCACTTTTAATAAAATATATCTGACATACATTTATGTAAATTTAAGGTAAACAAGTTGGGCAGCCCCGGTGGCTCAGCGGTTTAGCGCTACCATCAGCCCAGGGCATGATCCTGGACACCTGGGATTGAGTCCCACATTGGGCTCCCTGCATGGCTCCTGCTTCTCCCTCTGCCTGTGTCTCTGTCTCTCTCTGTGTCCCTCATGAATAAGTAAATAAAATCTTAAAATATATATATAAGGTTAACAATTAATTTGGTACATTTGTATATTATGATTGCCGTGTAACAATAGCACCTCTATCACATTACATAATCATCCTTTTTAGTGGTTAGAACAATTAAGCTCTAGTCTCTTAGCAGGTTTGTGGATTATAATACAATATTGTTTATATTCACTCTACAGTGTATTAGGTCTGTAGGGCTTATGTTTGTTTGCTATAAGTCTGTACCCTTAAAAATATCTATCCTATTCCCTACCCCCTTTTGAGTTTTTATATGATGGTTGTCAATACCCTGAATCTTGATTATAGGAACATCAGGATCCGATTCCCCAGGACAGGCTGTGGAAGCTGAAGAAATAGTAAAACAACTTGATATGGAACAGGTGGATGAGATCACTACCAGTACTACTACGTCAACTAATGGAGCAGCTTACTCAAATCAAGCAGTTCAAGTGAGGCCATCGATAAATAATGGTTTAGAAGAAGCAGAAGAAACAGTTAATCGTGATATCCCACCTCTTACAGGTGAATAAAATTCCTTTTCTTAATGCATATTCATGAATAATTTATAAAAATTCAATCTTTCTTATTTTTTTCTTTAATCAATCAAATTATTTGTACTAATCACTTAGAGAAATAAATAAGTGCATTTATTTATTTATTTATTTATTTATTTATTTATTTTTAAGGATTTTATTTATTCATGAGAGACGAGAGAAGGAGAGAGAGAGGGAGAGAGGCAGAAACAAAGGGAGAAGTAGGCTCCCTACTTCTGATATGGGACTCGATCCTGGGACTTCAGGACCATGTCCTGGGCCGAAGGCAGGCCCTAAACTGTTGAGCCCATACTTAGAGAAATTTAATACAAATAGCAAAACATGCTCATGTTTTTTTTTGACACAATTATAGATGCATCAGTCTCAGACCTTTCGGTCTGAAGTCCCCACCTAAAGGCAGCCTTCAAATTTATTGGATATATAAATGACATCTCCCCAAAAGAAGCTGCTTTTCCTAGATCTTTCCCTACATCCAAACTTTGCAGCCTAATTCTGGATCCTTATAAATGCCTAACATAATTGTTGGGTCCCTGAGCCAGTTGTCATGGAAATGTAGAATATATGAGATCAGAATTTATTACCTCTGAGGGTTGTGGTATATAGACATATAAAGCTAAAAGATAAAACTGCCATGATGCTTAAAAGCAGAAATAAAATTGAGAATGGTCATCTTTTCCCAGAGGGACAAGATCTTTGCTTTAATCTTAGATTTGTTTTTTGGTTTTTTATTTCTTAAAATGCCAGATACTTGAGAGACCGTAGCACATATGTATTGGTTCAGAAATGTAGTTTTGTGTAAGGAAGTAGAATGATGTTCTTCCTTTGAATTTAAAGGGGAAACATGAAAAAATATAATTAAAATGGCAGAAATCATTTGAGGAAAAAATGCATACAATTATGAAACTTCTATATAGTGTAACCCAGTAACACTAATATGAAGAGAAAAGCACATAACAGGAAAGATTTATTTTAAATTGGTCACATAAAAGATTTTTCTATAATGTTAAACAAAATATAATGTTAATATCTATGTTAAATTATAATGTTATATTTTTTAAGAATAATACTAAATCAAAAAAAAAAGAATAATACTAAATCTAGCAAATCAACATGGATTATATTCACAGTTCATTATTGGGTGGATAAGACTTGCAAAAGAACTTACTCTTCATCTGTCATTTTATGCTCATTACTTTGCCAGTATAGACTAAGTATAAACTAAGTCCAGAGCTTTGGGCTTCCTGTTTGATATTTGTTCTGTTTTTGTTTTTTTAACAATCTTGAGGTCTTTTATTTTCTTTACATTTATCATGCCATGAATTAATAGGTAATGGGTTCCAGCAGTTCAGGCTCCTTTCAATTGGTTCTCACAAAGTGTGCTGCTTTTGTGCTGCTATATGATCCCATGTAATTTTTTTTCTGATAACTGAAGATCCTTTGGGATTTCTATAACCTTAGTGGTTTCTAGAGGGAAAAAGTAATACTTACTCCAGTTGTCTCATTCATTTATTCCCCTAACATTTGTTGAACACCTATTTTCTGATATGGGTGTTATTTATAAAGATGAATAAGATAAATGCTCCTTGACCCTAAAGAGTATGTAATCTAATTGACAAGCCGAGTGTACAAAAAAATTACTGTACAGTGTGGTAAGTGCTATTACAAATAAACGTGCAAAATGTTCAGGTGGCACACTTACTCTGGATCATGACAGGATAGAAGTAAAATTTTTGCTGATCTTAGAAGATGAGTATGAGTGACAAAGGTTTTTACTTATCCTTAACTTTAAGAAACTAGCCAAAGAGAATAAGAAGGAAGGAAGCTGGCTCTGCCATTCTCTTAGCGTTGTGGCTTTAGACAACTTAAGCTCTCTGAAGTAGTTTTCCGAGCTTTAAAAGAAATAATTCATGGTTTTGAAAGAAAAAAAGTTTAGCATGAAGGCACTCAAATATTGCTTCCTTTCCCCCTTTCTCTGAGGTTAATAGGAATTTGAAACAGAAGTGGTTAGAAGATATATTTTTCCATTACTTCTTGTGCTAATGAACTGTTACTGGCATAAAGTTGTTACAGATGGACAAAAATTATGCTTTACATCTGTTGTCATTCACTGAACATACACACTGTGTTATAAGGTAATATATACACAAAGAATTAATACATGATGGGGGCACCTGGGTGGCTTAGTCGGTTAAGTGTCCAGCTCTTGGTTTTGGCTCAGGTCATGATCTCAGAGTCATGAAATAGAGCCCCATGTCAGGCTCCTCGCTTAGTGTAGAGTCTACTTGAGATTCTCTCCCTTTTTCCTCTCCCTCCCTGTCTGCCCTTCTCTTGACCTGTGTGTGCACTTAGTCTCTCTCTCTCTCCCTCTCAAATAAATAAAATCATTTAAAAATTAATAACAAATTTTTATTAATAATAACAAAACTTGTTTTTGTCCTGACTTACCCAATACGCCATTCCTGGAGATAGATTTTTTTTAAGATTTTATTTAGGGCAGCCTGGGTGGCTCAGCAGTTTAGTGCCATCTTCAGCCCAGGGCCTGATCTGGGGACCCGGGATCAAGTCCCATGTCGGGCTCCCTGCATGGAGCTTGCTTCTCCCTCTGCCTGTGTCTCTGCCTCTCTCTCTCTCTCTCTCTCTCTCTCTCTCTCTCTCTCTCTCTCTCTCCAGGATCACGCCCTGAGCCAAAGGCAGACGCTCAACCACTGAACCACCCAGGCGTCCCCTGTAGATAGATTATAACACTTATAACACTTTTTATTGAGTTCTACTGTCTTAGTCCTTTTGGGCTGCAATAACAAATTACCATAGACTAGGGTGGCATATACACCACAGTTATGTATTTGTCACAGTTTAGGAGGCTGGGAAATCCAAGATCAAAGCACAAGCAGATCCAGTACTTGGTGAGGGCCTGCTTTCTGATTCATAACAACTGTCTTCTCATGCATCCTTACATGGTAGAACCTATATGAGTTCTGGAGTCTCAGGGTACTAATCCCATTCATGAGGGCTCCAACCTTCTAAAAGTCTCCACCTCCAATTACCATTTTGTGGGGACACAAACATTCAGTTTCTAGCATCGATCTTAAATTATTATCTCTCCAACATTACCTCTAACTTACAATCTTTTGTCCTCTACTTGAATTTAAGTTACAATTATTATCTTAGAAAATTCTCAGTATAATTTTTTTTTAAGTTTTTCATTTAAGTAATCTCTGCACCCATTGTGGGGTTTGAACTCATGACTCTGAGATCCAGAGTTGCATGCTCTTTCTACTGAGCCAGCCAGGCTTGCCTCCGGCATAATTTCTAATGCTCTATCAGTTGACAGAATTTTACCTTAAATGTAGAATGAACCATGTGTCATGGAATATAGAATTGCTTCATGATTATTTTTAGGCTGCTTGTTAATTAGAAGTAAAATAAAGCCTCTTCTAAGGCAATGGTTTCTATACAGAGCAGCATTTTTTTAAATTTTTAAAAGATTTTAAACAACCTTAGGATTCCTGGGAAAATGTACATTCAGCATTTTTTCATAAGTCTTCAAGGGGGTTTCATGAACCTCTTAAAGAATGTTTATAAATCTCAGGTTAAAAGCTACCTTTGGGTCTAAGGTCAGCACAAATATATATTGACCTCTTGTGTATGTACAAGGTAGTTTGCAAAGTGTTACTGCCTATTAGAGCCCATGAAATTTTTATGGTTTTATATGTAGCACTTTCTAATTAGAAATTGAAATTTTGTGGGATGCCTGGGTGGCTCAGTGGTTGAGCATCTGCCTTCGGCTCAGAGAGTGATCCCAGAGTCCCAGGATTGAGTCCCGCATCGGGCTCCCCATGGGGAGCCTGCTTCTCCCTCTGCCTGTGTCTCTGCCTTGCTCTCTGTGTCTCTCATGAATAAATAAATCTTTAAAAAAAATTAAAATTTTGTGGAGTGTATTTTTCTGGTAATAAGTAGTAAATTTTCTCTTTGCTGTGAGGGATTTTAATTCTGCTAGCTGTGATCTAGCCTGCCATTTTATCAGTAATGGCAATTTCTTCCTTTGGATCTGGAGTTAGAACTATATGTTAATAAATTTGCTTTGCAATACTGTTTATAAGTTATTTCTGTCATATTTTGAATCTAAAATACCCAGAGAAAATCTTAACATAAAAACAGTAAAAATATATGCTTCATAGTGAGTAAAAGTAACATTTTGTTTTCATTCTATTAAATAGCACCAGTAACTCCAGATAGTGGTTATTCATCAGCTCATGCAGAGGCCACCTATGAAGAAGACTGGGAAGTATTTGACCCGTGAGTTTGTTTTGTTTTCCTTTCCCTCTTGGAGCAGAATGAAAGACATGTGTGGCCACCAAATATATTTGGATGTCAGTTAACCAAGGGAAAGATCAGATTGTTGACTATATTTGCTTTTATGGTTGTTACTCCTGGATGGTGTATTTTAAAGCCTGTTTTTCAATATTTGATGAGTTTTGTAGCATAATCTCCATCTTTCTCTTACATCATGCACCCACAAATTTTCTGGTCTTGATGGCAAGAATTATATCCTTTGAGGTTGTCAGTTGTATCAATGTTAGAGATTAAGAAAGTCTCTGCAGTCCATTATTATTATTATATGTCATTCAATATGCCTTTTAAATTCCCTAATAATGTTCTAAAAATAAAGCAGCACAAGCTATAAATATCTTAAAAAGAAACGTGTGTGGAGGGGTGGCTGAATGGTATATTGCAAAGAACATATAACGTAGGTATTAATACTTTAACTGGGTTACTGAAATACTAATATATTTTCAGTTTTATTACATTTCATAGGCTTGGTTTACTAGGTAAAAAGTATATTATTAAAGATTTAAACATGAGCTGAATTTGATAACACGTTTTATATTTATAAAATGTAGAAATGTAGAGATTTTCTTAAAATTTGATTTATAGGTATTATTTCATCAAACATGTTCCACCGCTGACAGAAGAACAACTAAATAGGAAACCTGCTCTTCCATTAAAAACAAGAAGCACACCAGAATTCTCCCTAGTTTTAGACCTGGTAAGTATATTATGTGTACAGGTAGAGAAAATAGTTAAATTTCTTTTTTAAAACACTAGCCCAAAATGCCTAAAAGGATAAAAGTGAATGTGAATAGTCTTTACACATTTACTAAACATATCTTAGATGTTCTGAAATGTTTTTATTGGAAGCATAGTCTAATGCCAAGATCCTCAGTTTGGTTGGTATCAGGTACTCTTTTGAAAATAAATTAGGTCATCATTGTTGTATTTAAATTAGCTCTTTTCCCCATATTTCTGAAACCCTTGTGACTTTTAAAAAAAAATTCCTAATAAATTTCCCGATAAGTTCTATTTCATTTCATTCTTAGATTTCACCTTTTTAGAGAGGGGGAGGGCAGTCAGGATTATGTGTCCCCTGAAGGACCAAATATCATCTGGGTCCCAATGAATTAACCTTATATAAGATTATAATCCTTTTCCTATTTTTATTTTTGTGTAGTATCTAATACTAATAACTTACTAATAGACTCCCAAAAATATGATCTCTTAATGCTAATAAAACCTTTAATGTGCTCTCAGTGTGTTAAAAAATATATATTTTAGGGTACCAGAAGAGTTTTGAGAACTGAACACCTACTTAGCACACAATATTTGAAAGCATTTTATTATTTAGCCTTTGTTACTGGTATTCTATAATTGGGAATGTGCTTTATTTCTCCTAAAAATTTTTTCTTGAGGAAAAGCTTATTTTAAATCTTAACTAGCATGTATAGTTCTTTTGGAGAGTTCAGCACTTTTAGCCTTTGTCTAGCCAAAGAGATGTAAGAGAAATCAACAGAGTTCCTAAGTATTAGGTATTGATTAGAGAGAATAAGTAGAGAAAAATTTTGAAACTGATTATGAGTAATTTAGATTTGATGTGCAAGTTAGTGGAGAAACTGGAAAGATATTTTGCTAGATTTTTGTGTTAGGAGTTAATGTGGTCATGATAGCAGGCTTGACCACGTAATTTTTAATTCAATGTGAAGGTAAATAGAAAAGGAAAGCTAGGATTTGGGTGAGCATAAATGAGTCATTTTATAGAAGTAAATGAAGAATGATCAAAATTTAGATAGTCTGTTGATGAAGAAGTAGTAGAATTAGTTGTGTTTCAGTTGAAGGAAAAAGACTACCTTTTTTTAAGATGCTAAGACAATACCTTGAAATGTGTAGACTGATATGCTATTAAAAGAAAATGAGGCATATCTAGAGTATTTTTTGCTCTTTGCCTCCCCAGAGTTAACTTTAGGTTAAAAGAAACACTCCAGCTAATAAGATGTGGAATCACAAGGTATGAACATTTGTGTTTCATTTTAATTCATTTTAAATGCATTGAAAAATTTTGGGGGTAGTCATTAGAAGCTTTTTAAAAAAGCGTTTTGTCACTTAACACAAATAGAACTGTTTTTTGATCATTTATTTAAGAAATATATTTACACATATCTTAGATTGAGTGATCCTCACCTTTTTATCCTTTTAATGAGAAAACAGGGTTTGATAATCAAAAATGTCAAGTCTTCATTGACTGCTAATTTATTAGCTAAATAATATTTATGTCTGAAACATATTCCACAGATACTAAGGCATTCATTTTATAAAATAAAAATCTTTGTTAAAGTTTAAAGGATAAGGATCTATGTGAATAGAATATATGTATTTTTAAAAATAATTAGATTCTAAACTTCCATTTGCTAATTCTTAAAAGGAGTATATATCTATTTCACTTAACAGAAAGTTGGCAACTGCAGAACTCAGAACACTGGTTCTCAAACTTGAGCTTGCATTGGAATCACCTAAAAGGCTTATTAAAATATGGATTGCTGAACTCCTCTCTTATTCATCGTCTTCTGAGTTTCTGAATTACCACAAGTGGAGCTGGAGAATTTGCATTTCTAACTAGCTAGAACTTTGTATTTCTAACTAGTTATTTATCTGCATTTCTAACCCAGGTGATGCTGATACTACTTGCTGGTCCAGGGGACCATACCTGAGAACCAGTGGCTTTGAAAGTTCTATCCCAGATTGCTATGCCACACACAGGAATGTATGATAAATATAAAATTCCACATATGAATGAGTGCTTCCATAAATGTTTTTGGTGGTCATGGATACATAAAATTATCATATGAAATTTCTTTTAACATTTTGGTTCATTCAGTATGTGCTTTTTATTTTAAGGATGAAACACTAGTACACTGTAGTCTAAATGAGCTAGAAGATGCAGCACTTACTTTTCCAGTCCTTTTCCAAGATGTCATTTATCAGGTAATTAAAAAAATTTTTAACTTGATTTTTGGCCTGTTAGATAATGTTCTGAACCAAGAAATCTTTCATAATTTTGTGTGTGTAAAGTTTAATGTGTTTTTTCCTAATTGATTTCATCAATATATCAATGATTTATTAACACAAAGTAGCATCATGCAAAATAATTACATAAAACATTAATGTTCCCAAAAATCTCAAGTTTTTTAACCCAGTGATCTCTGCTAGTTTCATAATCTGTTTGCCAGCAGGTGGAGGCAGGAGCACTGACATCATAGATCCCCAAGAAGAACTTGCCAGGTTAACACCTGGTGTTTTGTTTTTTTGTGTTTTTTTTTTTCCTCCCAAAATCCAATTAGTATAAAGAAAACTCATTCCTTGTTGGTCATTTTTATATCCTTTTGTAGTAATATGGTCTGTAGATGGCAGTTTATGCATCTACTTTATATGAATCATAGAATTCCAGGATACTCTTCCAGTTACTGCTTTAAAAATCTGGGTAAAAGCATTTCTCCCTCATCTGTGTTGATGGACAGGTAACCATGCGAAATGCAAATATCATTTACATTTCACTGTGAATTATTTGTGTTGGCTGTAGTGTTTCTTCACATCTGATATTTTCCTGTCATAAAATTTGAATTAATTCATATGAATACGCTTTGAAAATTGCAAAGTGCCTTTCTGTGATGGTGGTTGTTACTTAATCAGCTTTACCTTCATACATACCAGTTGCTGAAGGATTGAGAAAGGGTCAAAAAGTTTGTTCTTTGTCAAGAGGAAGCAAACCTAAGGATTAAATAAAGCCACAGAACAATTACTTTGTGAATGGTGAACAGGTGTTCATGGTTGTTTGTGTGCTTAATAGGCAGTTAGAATGTGGGTATAGTTTTCTTGGCACATGATAGTTACTATCTTTTCAGAATCATAAAATTTCAGAGTTAAATAGAAGTTTGTGGTTCAGGATCTGCTTTACCTACTTTACTTTCTAATGAGTCATAAGAGGATTTACTTTAGCAATTATTGTCAGTTCTGGTTTAACATAGATAGGCATTATAGGCACGCTATTATGTGAGTACTATATTCATTTCCCTTCTATGAAAGCTGATTTTAGTTCTGGTTTTTGATTAGAGAATGAGCAAAATACACATAAAAATAAAGGATTTTAAGATTTTTACATTTCTTTTTTAACTGGATATTATTTGATTTAAGGTAATCATTTTTTCTTAAGAAGACTTTTTTTTGCCAAATAGGTTGTTCTTATTTAGTTCACATCAAGGACAGGAGTCTTGTGGCAAATATAAATAATATAGCAATGTCTTAGTTCTCTTTAGCTTGATAACCTTGTTTTTTGTTGAAAAATTGCATTCAGGCTTTGAATTTAGAAAGGAAAGTTGTTACTTGAAAAATACTAAATTATTTTTGGATGACTTCTTAAGTTTTCAGATTTGAAATTTATTTCTTGGAAATAGTTTTGGTTTGTTTATGTCATTTTTGATAGTGAAATAAGAAACTTGGAAAGTAGATGAGTTTGATTGTTCCCTTTCGTGAGCATTTCTTTTTATTGTGACCATAAAATTGAATTTTTTTCTTACTGCTTCCACCATTTCTGCCTTAATTCTCTTCTTTTTTTAAATAAAGTTCTTATTATTTTTATGTGGATCTGGATAGTTGTCTTATTTTGAATAAAAGTCTTCTGGCGGTGCATACGACTAATACTTATAAAAACCATATATGTACTGCGTCTACTGTGGAATTCAAAGAACTCTTTTTCTTATATATTCTGAGTTATATTTTCTGAAACTAAAAAATAAATGATCTAGCCTAAATTAGGAGCAGTGTGAGCAGGAAGTTTGAATCTTATAAGTTAAGAGATGATTGCATTTTAATATTGCGATTTATTAGTTTACTCCATCATGTACAGAGTTTAGTCTCCCTTCAGTAAATTTTTGAGGATGTCCATAGTTAATATTGGGTATATTCCCTTGGATTTCTGGTTTTGGCATAGCCATTCTGTCTGCTTTTTTAAAAATAACTTTGAAGAAATCTTGGGTTAGGGATCCCCTAGTTTTCAGACCAGCAAGCTCCCTTTAAACAGGGAATGATGTCTTTTAAACTTTCAGTGGTGTTGTCTCCATCTACTGGCAAAGAAGAAATATACACAAGGGTCTGAGATGATCTAAGAGATTTTGGAGAAACCACATTATTAGGTAAGATGTAACTTACATATTTAACCACTGCAATATAATGTGGCCCACTTAAAGGTAGAAACCTGTAAAATACTGTATATACTCTTAAAAAATTATTTAGGTAAAATTCACAACATAAACCATTTTTAAGTGAACAGTTCCATAGCACTTATCTATATACTCTTGAATATGTCAGTTGCATAGCATTTATGTATATACTCTTAAAAATAAACTGATAATATTAAGGTAGGATCAAATTCTTCATCTGAATCAAAACCAAATAAAGTGTCCTCTTGGGACTTATTTTACTTTTGGTTTCTTTTTGTGGTAAGTTTGTTATGGTTGAACTATATCTAATTTTAATTCTACTTGTTATTTTTCTTTCTTTCAAAACAGTTTAAAGTGTAAATTGTTTTACATATGTTTCAGAAATTCTCTATATCAGGGGTTGGCAAACTTTTTCCTGAAAAGGGCCAGTTTTTAGTATTTTAGGTTCTGCAGTCTATGTTCCCAATACTTTTTCTGACATTGTAGCGTGAAAGTAGTCATAGACAATATGTACATAATCAAATAAGCATGGCTGTGTCCCAGTAAAACTTTACATACAAAACTACGTGACGGTTTATATTTGGCCCATAAGCCATAGTTTGCTGACCCTTGGTCTAATAGTTATGAGAGTATATACAGTAAATTTACATATTCAAATTCTAAGTGGAAGTAAGTAATCAAATATCAAAATTTTTATTAATATATAGAGATTTAAAACTAGATCCACTATAATCTGATTGTGGGCTTTCTTAGTTATTTTAGATGAAAGTTGAAGGGAAATTTAAGGGGACCACTTTAAAGATTGCCTGACTTCGTGGTATATACTCTCCTTTTGATTGATAAGTAGGACTCAGCTTACTTAATGCAGGTCTCAGAATTATTGAGCAGGTCAATTATTCAAGCCTCAATTTAGTACATTGAGTGTATTTGAATTCCATTTCTCTGGGGGATAAAAAATCCTAAAAGATCCAACTCAAATTAAAATTTGATACATGTTACTACTGACACATATGGATAGATTGTAGTTTGTGAAGATGGAGAGAAAAAGTCATTCAAAAGAACTGAGTTTTTAAAGTGAGGGTGTGGGACTCACAAAGGCAAAAGTATATGGATTTTTGTTTGAATGGGTCTTTTTTTCCCTTTAAATTGGTTGTTTTTCCATAAATTATTTTACAGCTAGTTATTGGGAAAACATATTTATTCATAGAATGATGCAAATGCATTTGATATCTGGAAAAACAAGTGCATGATCAGTACCAATGCACATACTTAATCTTTATATTTAGCTTATTTGACACATTGTCAGGAAATCCATCTCGTGGTGTTACTCAGTTAAGAGGTCTCCACTGTATTTAGTTTCTGTTCCTGCAGATCCACCAATTCAAGACTCTAGGTCATCTCACTCCCTCTTCCATCCAGAAGATGACTTCTATCCACAAGCAGGACTGAATCAAAAGACAGATTTTTCACTTAGCTCTTGAGCTGAACCACCTCCTCAATGACCTTCCTCTATCTCCATCAAGAACTGGAGCTCAGTTTTTTGAAGATGTAATAGAGCTACTCAGCCCAAACGTGGCTAATTGAAGACAAAAAGAAGATGCCTCATATGTTTCACCACAGTGCAGCCAAACGTAACTGTGCTGTCCAACTCCTCATTCTGTAAAGTATGACAGGGGCATCTGATTTTTGACTCTGTTCACCAATAAGACTTTAGCCAGTCAGTGGCTTTCTGAAGATCAGTAAAATCATCAAACTTTGGGTCAGCTGTCCAGAAATCAGATTGTGGTAAGCACTCAAGGAGAGATAGGATCTTTAGGGAGCTACTTGCTAAAGGATGCTTTGTTTTATTAGTAGAGGTTGCTTTTATGGGGAAAATTGGGGGAGAGGTGGGTGGGAAACCCCATGTTTAGCAAAGCTCCACCTCTTCCCCATTACTATAGTTTGTTTGTTTTCTGGGAACCTTACAGCCTAGGATAATTTTCACAAGCATCTCAGATATTTTGTACTATAGAACAAGAGGCATAGAGGGTCAGTGGTTTCTTTCTCCTCTCTAGTCTTTCTTGGAAAAGTGAGGATTATTTTTGCTTCATGAAGAAAAAAGCAATCATGTAATTGAAGAGTTTTATAATAAATATCTAAGTTTCTCTTCTTTCAGTCTCTGACTTAGATATTAACCAAGAGGCATTTTGTTTTGACCTTCATAAAGCATAATTTTTGTTGTATAAAAGTATAAAGTAATGTGTATAATTGTGCCTTAAATATAACATTTGGAGTCATGGACACTTAGTATTTGATGATTAATATTTTAGCTGGTAGGGAACAATATTTTGATAATTGTAGGTTAATATAAAAGTAATTTTAAAGGAACTTTCCTAGCCTTATTAGTAAGTTTAGTTAGACATTGATACTATTTTTTTCATTGTAATTATTCATTATTCTTAAGATTAAAAAAAGAGCTGAGACCTATAGTTACCTACTTCTCAAAGGTGATAAAATGTATTTCATGAGGAATTCTTTGTATTTTTTGTAAATGGATCTTAAAATTAGAGGCAGTTCATTTTTTAAATGCATGGAAAATTCTTGTTCAGCTAAAAACGTTCTGCAAATTTAGGAGAGGTGACAGATGATTACTAAGCATATTAAATTGTTTAGTCAGTTTAGAATTTTTTAAAGCAGCATATTTTTGTTTTACTAAAGTGACTTTTTTTGCTTTTAAAATGACTGAATTAAAAAAAATAAAATGGCTGAATTTTATTTAAATATATTTTA